TAGAGTTGCTGCTAGAGAAATTCAAGTCAATTTCATCTCAACAAAAGATCAACTTGCAGACATATTTACTAAAGCTTTGCCTAGTTCTAGGTTTTCTTTTCTTAGAGACAAGTACATGTTACTAGTATACCATGTGTTTGAGGGGGAATATTAGGACTCTTTGTATTTGAGTCACTTTATGACTCCCAATCCAGTCTTCATATAATTCCTCTTGTATATATTTCTCCTGTCCGTACAATTGTAATGACAGCTTATACAATACAACTTATTCAGTTCTCATCATTCAATTGTTTAAAATTCAAAATTCACACACAAAGATCTCATCCTGATGTTCACAATTCCTTCAGTTTCTTAGTTTTCATAGAATAGAGCTTTTGACAAGGTCTCGTATAAACTGATTGATGTAGCTTGATTTGAATTAAGATTTGTAAAAGAACTTACCTGTTGTTCATGGAAGACAACTTCCTTGGCTTTGATTATGGAAGACGATTTTCTCTCGGGGATTTCATACGCTCTCATAACTCGCAAGCGAAGAGCATTTCTGGATTTCATACACTATCACAACTTCCTTGATAGTGTTTGTATTGCAGAGGATGTAAAATATATATAGATGTTTAGATATCTTAGTAATTGATTTGATTGGCTTAAACTTAGTAATTGATTTCAATTCGATTGGCTGCTTAATCTTAGTAATTGATTTGATTGGCTTAAACTTAGTAATTGATTTTGATTGGCTGGCTTAAACTTAGTAATTGATTTTGATTGGCTTAAACTTGGTATTGGCTTAAACTTAATATTACATTGGGCGGGAACTTTTTACAGTATCTCATTTTGCTTTAACATATATAGAGATTTTCTTCCGCATTTCAATTTCGTCTTTTAAATAAGAAAATGTTGTCTATTTTTGATATTCCGGTTTAGTAGAATTAGGGGTGTTACACATGTACTATCTTATTAGTGGTCTATGTGGATGACATTGTCATCACAGGTAGTGACATCACTGGTATTGTATCTCTTAAGACCTTTCTTCATAGTCAATTTCAGTCTAAAGATCTTGGTACATTAAAGTATTTTCTAAGTGTCGATGTAATATGGAGTAAGAAAGGTATATTTCTCTCCCAAAGAAAATATGTACTTTATCTATTGACAGAAACATGGAAACTAAGAGCAAAGCTGTGCAATACTCCAATCATCCCTAATTCACAGTTGACATCAGAGGGGGAGCCATTTGATGATCCAGAAAGATATAGAAGATTGGTTGAGAAGCTAAACTACCTAACTGTAACTCGTCATGATATCCGCTTACCCACTCAGTATTGTAAGTTAGTTTATGGCATCTCCAACTGTTGACCATTGGAGAGCTGTTGAACAAATCTTGAACTACTTGAAAGGGTTCTAGGGCGTGGAATTGTATATCAAAACCATGGACATATGAAGATTGAGTGCTTTGCATATGCAGGGTCTAAGGAGAATATGAGATCTACAACCGGATTTTGTGTCTTCTTTGGTGAGAACTTGATCTCGTGAAAAAGTAAGAAGCAGGATGTTGTCGAACGGTCGAGTGTAGAGTCAGAGTATAGAGCAATATCACAAGTAACCTATGAAATCTTGTGGATATATCACATTATGAATGAAATAGGACTAAGGCTGATATTCCTGCGAAGCTATGGTGTGACAATCAAGTGGCTCTCTAATAAGTGTCAAAGACACACATGTTTGAGGGTCTTTAAGAGGGAATTTTATATCTATTTGATATCCTTTGTGCATGATTTATGGTTGTTTATGCTTATAATTGCTAATGTGCTGCAAAACACCACTCTACTTTATGTTTTTATGAATTGTGAAGGTTTTGAGCTTGAAACGGAGGCGTATGGGCATGAAATGAGCATCACAAGGGAAGAGAAAAACCGGAGCCGTGCTGAGACCAGCCATGCGCGTGGGACCCTACATGGAAACAAAACAGAAAGATCCACGTAGGAGCCCACATGTGTGGAAGCAAAATAGAAACTTCCACGCACCTCCTCCACATGCGTGGGAGGAGGCGAGGCCCAGCTTTAGTGACGGATCCACACGCATGAATCGTGGCGTGGGAAAGCAGCACGACGTCTTCAAGTGCGATTAGGGGAGTTCTTTTTTGGAAAGTTTTAGATTTTAGAGAGAAGAATTAGAGAGCGGAAGAACACTTTCTCTTTCTAGATTTTTAGATTGCTAGTCTCTCTTAGCTTGGAGATCTTGGAGAAGAAGATTGACAACCTTCCCTACAAGATTCATTGTAGAAGAAGACATTGATTTTCATTCTAGATTGGTACAATTTATTGTTTTCCTATTTCAATTGATTTCTTACTTTAATTGCTATTTCAATTCCTTTGTTTTGTTGTTGCAACTAGCTATGTGGGGCTAGATTTAGATAGGATTAGGATTGTGAATCTCGATCATGATGCTAATGTGTGATACAATTCTTAATTAGGTTTTGATATTGCAATTGTATGAAAGGATGCTGAATATGTTTATGAGTTGTGTTGCCCTTGATAGCTTTGTATGCTTCTTGTGGAGTCCGCCCAACTCCTCAAGTTGATCCAAGCAAGTGAGCTAAGCAAGAGATAGCTAGATCACTTGTAGACCCCTTTCTTTGGCATTTCCTAGTTCAAGATCCGCGCGGATGAAACTAGGAATGAAGTGTAGGCAATGTGTTTGTAGAAATGACCCTTAGGACTTAGTCACCTAAAGCTGCTCTAAGCCTAGAGGAATCCTAGTATACCGAGAGGTGAACAGACCTAGCATGTCTTCCCATAACTCTACTTTTGCGATATCCTAATCTATATTAATGATCCTGGATGCATCAAGAGAGAGGCGAGCAATCCTATCCTAGCTCTGTACATTTGATTTCATTTAGCATTTTTATTGTTGTTTGACTTCTTCTACATGCTACAAAGCGACTCAATCATGTACATAATCGTGACGGGGTACATGATCGGCAATAGGCCTCTCTCAACTCAATGCATTCCGACTCTTCCAATTTTCCATCCCTAGAGAACGATAAAACTCGGGGTTCATCCCAAATCTTTTGACGCGTAAGAAGAGAAGAGATACATCAAAATGACACTGTTGCCGGGGATGACAAACATTAGTAGTTAGAAGTTTGAGTTGATTTAGGTTTATTGCCTTGATACTATTGTTTTGTATTCTTTTCTTTTTGTTTTGTTACACAAAATTGTTTGCACTTACCCTCCATTCAACTACTTTTAGTTGTGGCAGGAATGCTTTGTTGTTTCTCATTCTTAGGTGAATGCAAACAAGAGCCAAAGGAAATCACGGATTGTTACCTTTGAATTCGGAGATAACTAAAGCCACAAGAAGAAGAACCATTCGTAATCACATTCTAATTGAAGAAATGGCACCATCAAGTGCAATTGGAAGATGAAACCCTTTACCTACAAACCCACCAATTAATCAAGGAGCACATGTTTTCGGAGGATGAGTTCAAATCTCTCAAGAACCAAATCAAGAGGAGGACCATATGATGGAAAGACAAGGACAATCGGATCCCAACCGAGGCGAGGAATTCTATGACGCACCAAACGAGCAAAGAGGGAGGTCCATCGCAGAGTACATGACTCCCGATTTCTCTATACACAACTCAATTCGAGTGTCGGATTTGGAAAACGTCAATTTTCATATTCACCCGGCCGGTGTTAAACTTAGTGCAAAACTGCCCGTTTGGAGGTTCACCCTCGGAGGATCCGCATACACATATTACAAGGTTTATAAGAGCATGTGGGATGTTTCAGCAGGAAGGTGCGCTAGATGAGATTGTGAGATTGAAATTATTTCCGCTCTCGGTGATTGGTGAAGCACAAAGATGGCTAGACTCTCAAGATGACCATCATTTTGTATCATGGGCGCAATTGCACAAAGAATTCATGAACGAATTCTTTCCATTGACCAAGACTACGAAGATACGCAAGCAAGTGCAAGAATTCAAGCAAAGTTCATTAGAGAGTCTTGGCGAGACATGGAGGAGATTCAAGTCACTTAAGAGGCAATGTCCCCCGGATTTACTTCATCCGCGGGACGTGATAAGTTCATTTTATGGAGGCTTGACGGACGAAGGCAAGATGCTATTAGACTCCTCATCGAATGGTGTATTTGTCTCATCTTCACCGCCGGATGCCGAGGCACTTATAGAGAGAATCTCGTCCAACACTTCTTTTTGATACAAAAGAGAGATTCTAAGTCCGGGATGTATGAAGTGAAAGAACATGTAGCCATGATGCCAATGTAGAAGCAATGACACATGAGATTGAGATACTTCAATCCAAAATAGAGAAGCTTGAAGCTAAGTCTCAACCGTGCATGGCATTAGCTCTTTGTTGCAATGTATGTGGAGGACCTCATGACACAGATATTTGTCATGACTAAAGATCGTGGATATTCGGCTTTCGATCTCTTTACTGATTGCTCAGAGCTTCGTAATTGTTTGTCGCCATCTCGACTGAGTATTCTCTCATATGTGGGGATAGTGGTGGATGATTGCCGGAAACTTTTATCTTCTTTTACTCATTGTGTTATTAGTTTAGTGCCACGCTCGGCTAATTTACTTGCACATACTCTTGCTACAGTAGCCTATGCTTAGACTAGCTCTTTGTGCTGGGACTCTGTCGGACAGACTATATTTCTACGCTTTTATAATACCAGGTTTCTTTGGCTTTAAAAAAAAAAAATAATAAGAATGACAATCCTAAATTGGGAACTAATGTAGTAATGTAAATTTCTAAAAAAAAAAAAAAAAAGAAAAAAAAAAGAAAAAAGAAGAGGAATGACAATCCTAAATTGGGAACTAATGTAGTAATGTAAATTTCTCAAAAAAAAAAAAAATAAAATTGTAGTAATGTAAAGTGCAGTTGCCGATTTTATTATTCGGGTCAATGACCCGATTATGGCTGAAAGTCAAAACCCCTCTCTTTTTTTTTTTTTTTTTTTTTTTTTTTTTTTTTGAGAAGCAAAACCCCTCTCTTTTATCCCACAAAATTGCTAGAAAATAGAAATGGATAAACCCTAACACCAATGATGGCCATGGCAGCAATTCATTTCCTTCCATCTTCCCTTTCTCAGCATTCTCACTCTCTAGCCCTCAACTCTCTTACCCATTTCAAAGTATCAACCTTTTTACCCAAACACCGTTACGTTTGCCACCCAAATCCGCCAAAGTCCTCCTCCGCCGATGACCACACCACCACTCAACAACCCTCAAAAACCTCCCGCCGTGCCCTGAAAAAGACTTCACCTTCTTCAAAGCCCAGAGGTCGTCCAAAAAAAGAACCTCAAAGTGAAACCATAGAATCTGTCGCTACAAAAAGGTCCAGGGCTCGTCCAAGAAAAGAAACTCAAAGTGACACCGAAGAATTTGAGTCCTACGTTGAGCCTCCGGTAAATGCTGACGAGGTAGACGATTACGACGACGGTGTCGATTTTCCCTACGAATCCCCGCCTCTGATATGCTGCTTCGGGGCGGCCCAGAAGGAGTTCGTGCCCACGGTGAGGGTGGCGCCGGAGCAAATGGACCCGGATATATATTCCGAATGGAAGATGCTGCAGTGGAACCCGCCGGAGTTCGTCAGAGCTCCGGGAGGGCCGCCGTCAAATGTGGCTATATCTCACGTGAGGCTGGGTGGGAGAGCCGCGTTTATGGGGAAAGTCGGGGATGACGAGTTTGGGGAAGAGATGGTTCTATTGATGAATAATGAGAAAGTGCAAACGAGGGCCGTGAAAATTGATGGAAATGCGAGGACAGGTTGTTCCTATATGAAAATCAAGTTTGAGAATGGGAAAATGAAGGTGCAGAAAGTTAAGGACTGTGCTGAAGATTCTTTGCTCAGCTCTGAATTGAATCTTGCTGTGCTCAAAGAGGTATAGTGTAGTTAAAGAGAAGCATCTTACTCATTTGTCTTGTTGATTATGCATTTTGGGTTACCAGGGAAATCCTTCCCGAGTGAGTTAAACCAACCTAGGTTGTCCATAGTTGATTGATTCAAACCAAGACGAATAGGCTGCTCCCTTGGGGAGTCGAACTTGTAACCGTGTATTTATCAAGTCAACAGCCTCACCAACTTGCTTGTTACGAGGCTTTCCCAGTTGATTATGCATTTTGGGGTAAACTGGGTAAACCTCACCTTGTGACCAAATGGAGGTAAACCAACTTAGATTGCCCATAGTTGATTAACTCAAACAACACTAATAGGCCGCTCTCATGGGGAGTCGAACTTGTAACCGTTTATTGATCAAAGTCAATAGCCTCACCACTTGCTATGCGGTTACCCCTGTTGATTATGCATTTTAGGGTGCACTAGTAAACGTCGCCTTGCTATGCGGTTACCCCTGTTGATTATGCAATTTGGGGTGCATTGGGTAAACATCGCCTTGTGATCACATGGAGGTAAACCAACCTAGATTGCCCATAGTTGATTAACTCAAACAAGACCAATAGGTTGCTCCCGTGGGGAGTCGAACTTGTAATCGTTTATTTATCAAGTCAACAGCCTCACCAACTTGCTATGCAGTTACCCTTGTTGATTATGCATTTTTGGGGTCTTGTGAGTTGTGACCACATGGAGGTAAACTAACCTAGGTTGCACCTAAAAGGTCAATAGGCCGCTCTCGTTGGGACTTGGGAGTTGAACTTGTAATCCTGTGGTTACCAAGTCAAAAGCCTGATCAATTTGGTTGGGTTATCCCCGGTGATTTTGCATTTTATGCACTAGAAATGAATGATTGCTGAAAGGCATCGTTGTCTCTGAAATGTAGTTTTTGTGCCTGTTATTAGATGTAAATAGATATTCAATACTTGCATAAGAAGTTGCTGAGAATAGCTCTGCAAATAACTTGATAGATTGCAATTTCAATTTTGAATATGATTTTTGATGGATATTTTGCTTAAATGATATGATGATAGCATTGGAAATTATGTACATAAGAGTAGCATTCTCTGGGATTTTGGGTATCTGGAACTAATTTTTGGTTCTGATGTTCTGTTGCAGGCTAGAATTTTCCATTTTAATTCAGAAGTCCTAACATCTCCCACTATGCATTCCACCCTTTTCAAAGCAATTTCATGGTCAAAAAAGTTTGGTGGCCTTATATTCTTTGATTTGAATCTGCCACTGCCTTTGTGGAAATCGCGGGATGAGACTTGGGAAGTGATCAAGGGAGCCTGGGAGCAAGCAGATATCATTGAAGTTTCAAGGAGCGAGCTAGAATTTCTTCTTGACGAAGATCATTATGAACATAAAAGAAACTATAAACCTCAATACTTTGCTGAGGATTTTCAGCAAACCAGGAAGATAAGAAACTATTACCACTATAGCCGGGAAGAAGTAGCTCCATTATGGCATGATCGTTTGAAGTTTTTGTTCGTGACGGATGGAACCCTTCGGCTTCATTATTACACCCCGTCTTTTGAGGGGGTTGTAGTCGGGACTGAAGATGTACTTATAACGCCATTCACGTGTGACAGAACCGGTTCTGGGGATGCTGTTGTTGCGGGAATCATGAGAAAACTCACGACTCAGCCAGAGATGTTCGAGAACCAAGATGTTTTGGAGAGGCAACTTCGATTTGCTATTTCTGCAGGGATAATATCCCAGTGGACGATTGGCGCTGTAAGGGGTTTTCCCACTGAAAGTGCCACACAGAACCTGAAAGAACAAGTCTATGTGCCATCAATGTGGTAAAATTTCAGTTACATTGAATAGAAATTGTTGTTTGGTAGCCTTATTATTTATGAATCCTTCCTCCAAGGTGCTTCTTCTTTACTTTAATCACAACTAAAGAAAATAGATGACAAAAAGATGCTGCAATAGTATAATTATTTTTGTTAAGATTTTCAGCAATTTTTACATTTGAATCTGTAAAGAATAAAAGATTTTCAATACACAATAAACAATGACTTGCATATCTGCTAATCTGCAATGAACAGTGAAAGAGTAAACATTCTAAATTCATACTTGATTAATGACTTGTATATCTGCTTCCAAGTTCCAAGATCTCTATTGTCTAATAGCTTAGTTCTTAGGTATCATCTAAGTTTTTTTCTTCATCTTAAGGGCATGATAGTACAATTCTTTTAGTAGATCTTGCAATTTACAACTTATATGGCCCTGTTTGGTAACATAGTTAGCTTATCAGTCAATTTTGGCTTATTTGACCACTATTAGTTGTTTAACTTGGTTAAACAATCAATATGAGTATTTGATTAATTAGTTTTTTGTAACAACTTATTGCTCCAAAATGTTAAAATTAAAAAAAGCTACTCAAAGTAGTTTTTTCGATCAGTTTTTTTAGAAAGTCATTTTGCATGTACTCAGCTATCAACAACATCTAATTTACCAAACACTTTTCTACAATTCGCTAATGCTATCAACTAGTTAACCCCCTACTAACACAATTAGATAACATGTATCAACTAACCACTATTTACCAAACACCCCATATATGTTTGAGATCTGTCAGACCAGGAAGAGGGTTCGTGTATAAGTTCTCCTCTACTTTTGGTGACCCTCCAGCTTTTCTAAGGTATGGAGCTCCAACCCTATTGGAATGGAAGGCCTTAACCTCCATGGAAAACTCATCCCAAGTTATAGCACCCCTATCCAACAAATTTATCAACTTCACAAAATTCAACCTGAAAAGCACCAGAAGTTATATAATGAAGTTATTAGACTTTCCCTAGAGAGACATAGGAAAACCTAAGCATAAGAATTTGAGCGTAGAAGTTATAACCTATCAGGGCTAATGGTCTTCCTAAACCCGGCAAACCTCCTATGTCCTTGAACTGCCTTTGCCATGTTTCCAGTCATATGTGTAAACAAATACATTGCTGTCAAGCCCAAGGGCCACATTGTAGGTTTTTTTATAACATAGTTAGCTTATCAGTTAATTTTGACTTATTTTATCACTATTAGCTATTTGGCTTGGTTAAACAATCAATATGAATGTTTGATTAATTAGTTTTTGTAATAGCTTATTGCTCCAAAATGTAAAAATTCAAAAAGATGCTCAAAATAGTTTTTTTTTTTTCGATCAACTTTTTGAGAAAGTCATTTTGCAGGTAATTAGCTATCAGCTAATTTACTAAACACTTTTCTACAATTCGCTAATATTATCAATTAGTCAAACCCACTAACTCAATCAGCTAACAACTATTTACTAAACACCCCATAGTCTAAGGCAGCAAGGCGGTTTTGATACCAGTTAAACACTTGCAGTTCTTCCTCTGTTGCAAGTGTTGAGTGAGAGAACACGTTGGGGGTACTCTGCACAGAATTTGTCCATGCTGTTAGTACCATAAATTCCTCCTGCAACAATGTAGATTTTTGCGGTGGAGGGGTAACCCATTGCCTTGAGAAACAAGTCTGCCTCCTTGGGAGTCATAGGGCAGCCTCCCATCACCCTCTTTTCTTCACTCTCAAATCTCAATCTCTTTCCTCCTTTCTTCACTCTCAAATCTCAATCTCTTTCTCTTTCTAGTGCTTCACACTGTACCTCAAAACCCGAAGCTCCTCGGCTTCTGCTACTGTCAGGCCATGGATGCAGTCTGTAAATGCAAGCATTGTCCTTTTCATATCTGCACTCAATACATACATAGTTATTGTTAGGGTCAAGTGCTTATTACTATGTCAAAAGCTATAGTTCATAACGAAGACGCATTTTAAGAGGCAGGTGACCTGGCTCTGATACCACTTGTTATGATCAAACGCTTACCACTACATAAAAAACTATAGCTCACAACGAAGAGTCGTTATGCTGTGGACTCGTGCCCAGCGTGCATCATGGGCACGGTAACGGTGCCGTCAGGCACCGTTATCTTCCTTTTTTTTTTTTTTTAAAAAAAAAAAAAAATTTAATTTCAGACCGCTTCGTTATAGGAGCATATATTCACAGCTTTGTGTTCATAATTTCATAACTGTACATTCATAATTCCATAACTGTACATTCATAATTCCGTAACTGTACATTCATAATTCCGTAACTGTACATTCATAATTCAATAACTGTAAATTCATAATTTTCGAAGCTCTATGTTCATAATTGCAAGTTCATAATGTCAGAGTTCTATGTTCATAATTTCATAACTGTACATTCATAATTTCATAACTGTACATTCATAATTCCATAACTGTACATTCGTAATTCCATACTGTATATTCATAATTCCATACCGAACATTCATAATTTTCGAAGCTCTATGTTCATAATTGTAAGTTCATAATTCTATAACTGTACATTCATAATGTCATAACTGTATATTCATAATTTCATAACGAATATGCCGTTAACGCCGTTAACGGCGTTTCGAACAAATTTTTTTTTTTAGTTAAAACAACGTCGTTTTCAGTGAAAACGACGCCGTTTTAGGGCCGTGCGCATAGCATAATTTGCCCACAACGAATACACAACTTTATTTTTTTATTTACTGTCACATTTTCGAGAGACAAAGTGAAGGTGTTAGGCTTGTCCCTTTACCGCCATTCGCCCAACAATTAGCTTTGTTGGTAGTTACTCCCACAACATAACCAGCAAAAATGGTGATCACATAAAAATATTTAATTTAATCCCTATATTATAAATTTGGTTAATTTTGTCCTTGTACTATTAAAAATAAAATAATAAAGTAAAATTATTAATTAAAGCATTAAATATGCTTTTGTAGCTAGATGTCATGGCAATGATGTATACAAGTCAATACCGACTCCACTGAAGTTTGAATCCACAATCTTCCATATGGAAGACGGAGCGTTATGTTGTGCATCCGTAGATGCAACAACGATGTCGTTTTATTAAAAACGCGCATCCCACTTTTAAAAAAAAATCCAGTTTTAATTCTGGAATTTTAGTTCATAGATTCTAAAATTTTAGTTCATAGATTATGGAATTTTAGTTCATAGATTATGGAATTTTAGTTCATAGATTATGGATATTTAGACGTGAATCGAAACTGATTTTTTTTTCATTCATGCTGGATATTTAGTTCATTCATTATGGATATTTAGTTCATTCATTATGGATTTTTAGTTCATTCATTATGGAATTTTAGTTCATAGATTCTGGAATTTTAGTTCATTGATTCTGGATATATAGTTCAAATTATGCACAATATAATGTTGTTGCTGGGAATCGAAATTGATTTTTTTTTTTAAGTGAGACGCGCGTTTTTAATAAATCGACGTCGTTTTTGCATCCGTATGCACCATGCATGGTGCATACGGATGCACAACATAATTTGCCATGGAAGAGCAACTTGATGCCACTAGACCACAAGATTTTTGACACCAAATCCCCATTAGAATACTAATAACTTATTCAAACTTTAAATCTAATTCAATAAACGAACTTACAATTGAAGTTATTTGTTAAAACATGGTTTATAACTTCATTAGTCTACCGCAATAGATTAATGAATAAAAGCAACAATACAACGAGCTAGCTTGAGCATAAGCTGCTGAAGCAAGAGTATGAACATGTAAACTTAAAGCTCTAGAAATCAAACTAACAGAACAATAAGTGAACATAGACATGGTTTCCCTACAATGGTCAATAGATATATATCCCAACGTAGGACAAAATTGGCGGGTCATTAGACAACAAACTGCTGCGGAGCTCCGAACAATCAGTAAACAAATTCACGAATAGCACGTTCCGGTCTTTAAGCCAAGATAAAACCTCCTTACAGGCAAGTGATTCCGCCATTATAGGTGAGAAACAATCCATTAGTGGCCCGTTGCATGCCGCTACAAAACCTCCGTCGTGGGACAATAGAACGGCCCCGAAGGTAGCCCTTCTTGTTGCCGGATTGTATGCCGCATCGAAATAGCATCGTGGTCGTGACGTACTGGTTGGCAGCGTAGCAGCAACCTGAAGCTGTGGAGTCCGGTGATGAATCTTTGCCCAGTTCTGCAGCGACGTAGCGGCCTGCTTCCAGACGGCCTTCGGCGACGACATCGACTGCTCCGACACTGCCTGGTTCCTCGCCCGCCAGAGCTGGTAGAGTACTGCTACAACAACACCACTCCCATCCCATATATAATAGCAACCGTATAGCACACACAGGGATGTACCCAGGGATGGAGCCAGGGGGTGGGCAGTTGTCCCCCTCCCTCCCCCCTCCCCCCCCCCCCCCCCCCGCCACCACGCCACTCCCATCCCATATATAATACATATATGTATATATAGTACATGTTTTAGTATTAGTATAAAAAAATATTAAACGTCAACAAGAAATGAGTTAGATTAGTTGATAGAGCACATGTTTGGTAACCCCATCCCAGAAATTTTACCCATTTCTAAATGACATGGAAGAGAGAGAATGCATTTTTTATTCTTTTTTGATACTGATGTGTATTGAAATGGGAGAGAGAGTTTTACAATTTTTTTGACTCCTTCCCCTAGGCTTCAACATAGTCACGTTTTAATAACTTTTTTAATATTTAACACACACACACACACACACACACACACACACACACACACACACACACACACACACACACACACACACACACACACACACACACACACACACACACACATATATATATATATATATATATATATATATATATATATATATATATATATATATATATAGGCTCCGGATCCCATGAGGTCACTTATATGGATGAGATCATGAGATCTCATCCCATCCATTAAATCATTACAAATAGAAGGTTGAGATTGAATGAGATTTCTTATATATTTAAGGTAGTAGTCTAAGCATAAAGGTGAATTAGTCATTGTATTC